ACGGGAAGCACCAGAGAGAGAGAGGCAGAGAGAAGCTGACCGACAGACAGTTTGTTCACTTCTCAATTATTTCACGATCGATCGTCGCGTTGTTACAGGGACTTGGAAGCGTTCAAATAAAATATAAATGTTAACATAAAACCGAAAATCTATTTACTAACATTCGAAGAAGTGTTAATGTTTCTCTACTCTCTTTCACCTATTAATTTCGCCGGACAAATTTTCCTGTCAACTCCGTCTCCGTCCAAATGCTCATTCTGCAACACACGCTGGTGCTGCCCGCATCGCTAGTGCGCTGCCACACTGACACGCTAAATATAATAGTTATTATTAATCTAAATCTTAATTAATTGTTATTTTATTCATTATTTAATAAATTTTTATTATTATGTAATGAAAAAAAAAATGAAAAATAACTATATAAATTATGTGTCACGTGTGCAGCAGCTAGCGTGCCGGCCAGCCAGCGTGTGTTGCAGTATGAGCATTTAAACGGCATTTACAGGAAATTGTCGGGCAATAATAGGTGAAAGAGAGTAGAGCAAAACATTAAGACTTGTAGTAATATAGATTTCGTATTAAATTATATTTAGCCATTATATCTTATTTGAAATGCTCCAAGTTGCCTGTGCTCGCGTCGCCTCGTCGATTGTGCCAGCCACGAGAATACTTTTCGCCGTAAGCTCGAGCGCTTCAAATGGACACGTATGTCCGAGAGAATGTGCCACAGCAAATACGCTACAAACCTAAGACCGTCACTTGGCCGCAGGTCCGCCACGTCAACTATTTCATATTGCTGATATACACGGCCGATGCGCTCGCGTCCGCTCATCGAACGAGCACACTTTTCGCGCAAACTTACGCGCTTGCAAAATTGGCAGGCGTATTGCCCGAGAGAGACGCTGCCTACCAAGCAAAATCCGATCTCAAATTTCACTTTGTCCGCAGAATCCGAGTGTACCGGAGTATCAGTGGACCTCTAGCTGTTCACAAGCAAGCGTCTTACTAATATGCATGCCGTCAGACATTCGCATAGACTCTGTTGGCGCGCCCAGCGCTTCGGATCAAAGGATGGACCCCACGATACTGTTCAAACTAACAGACCTCATTCACCACCCTCTCATCCCCCCTTCCGCCGCCCTTTCCCCCATCTCTCTCCCTCTCAGGGCCGTATGCTACGCGGGGCGGGGAGTACACAAGCGCCCCCCACAAATTTTACTGTGCCCGCCCCCCCCATGTGCCCCACTGCAAAATCTCATGCTTGATAAAAAAAAAATTTCGAATAAAAACAAATTGCCGTTAGAACAGTATAATTACATAAGCAAAAGTTATATATTGCTCGCTCCCACACCGAAAGTCGTAAGGCCGCCCCCAGTGCCCCCCCCCCGCGCTGAAAAAATCCTAGCTACGCCACTGCTCTCTCTCTCTTTCTCTCAACCTCTCCCCCTATCTCCTTTATCTCGTTCTACCGTACCTGTCTCCCCTCTCTACTCTTATTAACATGCGCTCTCAGTTTATTACATAACCCGCTCAGTGGATGGACGGACCATAGCTATATAGAAACTTAATATTTACACACTAAATGTGTGGCACAAGACCTACTAGAAGCGATTAAAACTTTCCACTGGTAGTAAATAGATTTCGTTTTTATTTAGCATTATATTTTATTGAAACGCTCCAAGTCCCTGTAAACGCGAGCGCGTAATGAAGAATGAACAACTTTGGTCACTCTCTCTCTCTCTCTGGTGCTTCCCGTCGCGCGATTAAAAATGCCACATGAATTTGTCGGTTCCTCCCGAGTGTCTGTCCATTTCGCGCACGCATCTGTTGCATCTCTCATTCTGTGTGTCTGTCCATATCAGGGCCGTAGGCTGAGCAAATTCCTAGTGGGGGGGGGGGGGCAAAATTTCATGACTCAACTGTGTAATGATGAGCGAAGGGCGCAGCTCTTGATCGACGTCCATAGTGTGGTAGGGGTGGGTCTGACACAAGGCTTTCACGGATAAGTGACCAGAAAAATCACATTATGGTTATTTACGATTATTAGCGAAGCTTATTTTTAAATTTTGCTCCAAAATCTAGGGGGCAGCTGCCCCCCTTGCACCCCCACAGGCTACGGCCCTGCATATCCGTACGTTTGCCATTCCAGGATGCTGATGCTATGTCACTGTTTGTTTGGTGACCGCAACATCTCATGTGAGTGCTAGAAATTTTGTCCAAGAGCGTGAGATGCAGTTTCTTTCATGAGTGTGAGATACTCTCGTGTGTACGCACAAACAGGTGTTAGAAAGTTATTCTCACGTTTCGCTCTCGAAGGTATAATTATCAGACTAACGTATGGATTGCAATTACCATTGAGGCTCTCCCCATCAGTACGAATGTATTTGATTTAGAATTTTTTCTGCTATCTTTGCTCTCCCATTTACTCTCTATCAAACATTGCTTAGGCAGTCAGTCTTGCATGTATGTACGCACACACAAAGACTTTTTCAAGTAATCTCATGTGATGAAAGCATGATTATGCATTAGTTCATGTAATCTCAGAACGCAATGTGCTAGAAAAAAAACGCAAACGCACACCGACTCTTATACTTCATACAGTAAGTAATTTTAATTTACATAAGATGCGCATAATTTACAATTCTGTAGGATACTCATGTGAAATCATAACACTATAAATAGTCATATAATTACAAAGCAATCATCGCATTTAACATTTATGGAATCCATGGGTTATATAAGACTTTTTACATTACTTATATTTTCATATTATATTACATTCATTATATTTTTAGCATAAATTTGCATATTTCAATAGATACAGTTTACGATACTTCAACAATCTTTCACATATTATCTCATTCTGGTTTTGTCTTTTCGTTCAGTGATAACTAAAATTACAACTTAAATTAGAGGTGCACAGCTTTCTTGCAACGAATACATGACTGTTCCTTAACATACGACACGCACATGAGCACTTGTAATAATTTCAGGGGGTTGTAGGCAAATGCAATAGTTCCTTAGAACATCTGAATGTTAACCATGACTAGTGATGAAAGTTCTTCTTATTGAGCAGGGTCCTTTCTAAAATGTCACAATCGACTAACTATGTAATGATGAATATTACAAGCATATAGATATGTTAATCTATATCTAGTTATTTGAGTTAAGCAAGTGTGCATAATGACACGGGTCATTAACGTCAAGCAGCCGCGAGCGGCATCAAATTATGTTAGCAACAAGGTAACAAGTAAGAGTGTACGATACGGAACTGTGTCAGGGGGACACAAGTAAGAGTTATTAGCTACGACAGCAGTGTAACGAACAGTTCAGTCCCTATCAGTTTGAGGTCGCGCGCCGATGCAGGGAAGAAAAAAGGAACGATCACCGCTGAGGAATGTGATATATGGATACTTGAACCGAACAGCCACAGTGCCAGGGAAGTCATTAAGATGAGTCGCCGATCTAACGTGTCACTAATGACTACATCCCGAAGAAACCGGAGATAAACCACAACGGGAATAAAAAATGGGCTGCCACCAAGCATACCAATAGATCACAGGACTCGATAAAAATCAACCGATATCGCTGTGAGACGATAAACCACGCATTCGTACAACACCGGGAGATGACAGTCCAGCGTCCATCACTCCTGTCAAGTAACAGAAACTAGGGCACCTCTTCCATCACTCTCTCCAACAAGGCCTTGACCATGCTCGGGCCACGCACGTCTGCAAGATGTATATAAACCGCCGTGCTGGATAGAGTGAAGACAGACACCGACCCGCCTCGTCACCAGCTGTCTCTTGACGTACACCTAGGACCTGCAGGATGCCGCTATCGTAAATATGCATTGCTAGGAATATAACACTGTATTGTGCTTGCTTGTCTTAGTTAAGTATTGTACTAGTTTGCGGTGTTATAGTTAAGTACCGTATGATCTTTACTATGCCTTATATTCATTAAAAAATGCATTCTTCTGTTAGTAATCCTCTGCGTATTGTCTGATATACCGTTGTGGCTAAAAGAGCGACAGCACACGTATCTGCCTGTAGACGAACCTGTAGCCTATTCGATCACGATAGGCTATGAGCC